TCAGGCATTTTGGTCACAGTGATGAAAAGCTAACCCCATCAACTACAATGAAATGAAATAACTAGGGAAACGCAACAAACATCAGTTTCCATCAAATTGCCATCAATGTGTATATTCTCCCTCAATTTCTGTATTTGTCTCACTGCGGATGGAGCTTGGGAGCCAGCTAGGGTGGCAAGATCACACCGACCTATCTTCTCTTGGCGTGGACTGGGAACTTTCTAGAACTGCAGTGCCTGGGGTCCCACCCTCTCCTGCTGACCCAGAGTCTGCTTTTTCACAAGATGCCCATGCGATTCACAGGCGTGCTAAGGTGAGTGGTGGCCGCCAGGGTGGGTGGAGCACAGGATGAAGGAATTAGCCAGAACTTCCATCTCCCAGACACCATCTCCCACCACACAAGAGCAGAAGACAGAAACCGTCTTCCTGAGGAACAGGACTGCCTATATAATTTACAGAGCCCAGTGCAAAATATGAACGTGGGATCCCTTTCTAAAAGGTCTTAAAAATTTCAAGATGGTGACACAAGCAAGTGGGGGCCCTTCTGATGGGGATGGAAGGGACCACAGGTCCCATGTTCATGGAGCTGGCGAGGTAAGAAAGGTCATTCTGGGCCCGGCCCGATCATGCTAGCCAGATACATCATTTGCTTTATTCATTTCCAACCATTGTAATTAAAAGCTCCAACTTCTCATCCTTTTTGACGTTTATTTTTTTTCTCCATATGCAAATAAAAATGGTTTTCAATGGCTCTTATTCCAGTGTAATTCTTTCAAAAAATACAAATATGTAGGTCTATGAAAACATGAATGGAAGTTCTGTGTAGGGAAAGACAATTTGTGGTCACTTATTTTATTGACAGTGTACAGACTTTTGATATATTGCATTACAATACTGACCGCCAGATTTCTCATAAAGGTTCAGTTTGTATTTACTCTAGATTTTTCTTTACAACAAAAGTAAACTCATGCCAGTGTTTAGGAACCAAGAAGGTCAATTCATTCAAATTTAATGACAGTTTTATTAAACTAAGAATTTCATGTCACAGAGCATTCACAGTGCAGGAGGTCACAGTTATTGAAAAAATAAATAGCGGCATAAATATATTTATTATTTACAACTTTCCAACCCGTTGCTCCTGCTCTGAGAGAATGAACAAATATAAGGGTGCAGCCCAGTGCGCTCAAAGTGTCTCGTGGGGGACCCAGGCCATGTGTGGCCTGCCCTAGATGTTCTTGGTCTGCGCTGTTTTTTAACAAGGTCCTTTCAGGACCCAAGACAACCCTGATCAATCTCCTGCTACTTGGTAAGTCAGGAGGGCCCTAGGAAGACCCAAATACCTGGGGGAAGCCATGCCCAGCCCGCCTCTTGGCACCTCGTAGTGCCTGGCCTCTGCACGCTGGGTCCTTGCCTTGGTGATCCTGCATCTGCCCACGGGCCTGGCCCCAAGTGGCCAGCAGCCTCCTCCTCTCTAGGGAATCAAAGCTCCCTTTGTGCACAGACAACAGCAGCTACTCCCAGCTGGACGGGAGGTCGGGCAGAGGGCACCCTGCCAGGGAGCTAGTGCTCTGAGCTGGAGATTTGGGATCCTAGACTAGCAGCCACCCACAGCGATCCCCCAAAGAAGCTCAGCCACATCTCTGTTTGCTGGGTCCCCAAATTCCCTGGTACAAGCCTTGGGCAGTGTGGACACTGTGATCACAGAGTCTACAGCTCAGAGGGTCAGGGATGGAAGGTGAGACAGGATGCCCAGTGGTCAGGAAAAAAAAAAAAAAACCCTAGGACATTTTATTTGGAAAAACAGAAAAGCCTTGAATTTTCAGGGGGAGGAGAGGCCTCCTCCTGTTAAAAGGGGAACCACGTGTCCCCTGGGGGATTCCCCTGGAGTGCTGGCAGGAGGGCTCTGCTGTCTGGGTCCCTCCCTCTGTGCACAGAGGCTGGTCATACCAAGCCCTGCATCTAGAAACCAAAAGCTGCACGTTCCTCTGGTAGCTTTGAAATGTTGTTTTCCAGGGACGGGGTGGGGAGGGCACATACTCCCCCCAGAATCAACAAGTTTGTTGGCCTTATAAGTGGAAAAGTCCCCACCACCCAGGTGCATAAGGAACAGCTGCTTGGATTCTGGCAACACTGTGGGATAGGTGTGGATTATGCTGGAATTTGTCACCGGGCTTTTAAGGAAGGAGTAGCCAATCCCCAGCCTCGTAAATCCAATGGATGGAACAGCCACAGGGTTGAGGCCCTGCCCTTCAGAGATGCTTCTTGGAGGCTACAGGGACTGGAAGAGGGTGGGATTTCAGGTGGACACGAGGCGGGATGAAGATTCACAACCTGGACAACTGGATACTGACTCTGTAAGAGTGGACACAACGTCCTAGAAGCACGAAGGTCAAAGAGGACACCAAGCAGGGCCACTAGTCCCTAGCGGTATGTGCCTAGGACATGTGAGGGCTTGGCAGCAGTGAGTAGAACCCGCAAGCCCTCTGTGATGGAAAAGTCACACAGATTTTAAAAATCTCCGTAGAAGAATCAGAGCTTGGATACCACTCAGCTGGCTTCCTGGGAAAGACTGCTCCACCTGGAGCGGAGAGGGGTCCCTCCCGATCTCACGCAGTACCCACTTGCTGGAGCTGGGCGGCACTCTGACAAGCCCCATGTCCACCCGCTAGCAAGCTGCCAGGTTCGAGGTGAAGTACGAAGCTAGCGTCCAGTTTCAGGTTTCTTTATTAACAAGCAACGACAACAACCTAAATGGAAATGCCTTTTTAAAATCTGCACCCGTGGAATGGGCCCTGTAGGGAAGAGTCCTTTGCATGAGGCCAAGGTTCCCGTGACAAGACCTGGCGGGAGGCCGCGGATCCTGGTTCTCCGCCTTGTAGATCTGGACTGTGAAAGACCCCCCCTCTCGTTCCCACACAACTGACACCGTGGGGCATAGTCACCCAGAGAACAGGAAGCCCCTGCCCCTCGGCTGGTAGGCCTCACGCTCCGGGGGCTCATGTGAGGAACCGCAGAGACCAGAAACCCCAAGAGGGAGCGCTCTCGCCTGGCGAGGGCTCGGATGCTCTTTGGGCGAGTCCATATGGAGAGGGCAGTGGGTCCAAGGAGTGTGGGGATGAGGACCTCCTGCCACCCAAGAG